AGCCAGCATGCTGGCTGGGGAATTCTGGGAGTTGAAGCCCACACATCTTAGAGTTGCTAAGGTTAAGGAAAAACTGGATTAGATACTGCCTTGCCTGTAGCCATAACCAATGAACCAAGCACTGCCCTAGTTCCCCCATTGGCTGTGTAACTCCAATTGATTAGCTGCTGTTAAATTAGGCAGATGTTATACAATTAAAACTCAATTTAACAGACCAATTGAGGAATGCAGTTCCATTATGTTCAAATGTCTGTTAAATTCCAAATTATATCACTTGGGAATTTACATCATTTATATAGTGACGTCATTGTGCAAATGACATAAAATTGATACAAATGACCTATTAGCTGCCCAGAATGGGAAATGGGCATCCATAAAAATTTAAGAAAATAAATACATAATACAGTATATGTCATTTTCATAATGATGTCACTGAGGCATAAATTGCTACGAACAGCATAGAACTAGCATAAATTTAATTGTCCTGTCTGGATTGCTTTAGATGCAAAAGATTTGTCCATTATTCCTGAAGAATATCCAGTAAGCAACTTGGTCTGTTGATCTGAAATCTGCTAAATGGGGGTCCATTAAACTGACTTTACAATGCATATCCCTGGCACTCAACCAATTACTTTCTGGGTAATGTGGGTTTGCTTTCATTGCTGTCCAGGTTGTGCTATCTTTTGTTTTTTATCATTGTATTATTTTATTCTGTGTATTTTTATTGCTGGGAGTCAGGCAGTATAAAAATATCATAAATAATAAATAAAATTTTAAAAAGCAGTACTTGTTGGGTCCGAGAGGTTGTTTGGAGAGTCTTCTGAAGTCCCAGGCCAGCATCCTTGTGCACCCCTGTGGCAATCTTATGGAAAACAGCAGGATGGCCACTGTGGGAATTAGGATGCTGAGCTGGCTGAAGCCTTGTTTTCACCCAGCAACACTATTCCAAAGGGGCCATACACTGGGGTTTAATAAAAGTGTGGCATGCACCTTCCAATTTATGATTCAAATGATCTTGCAGCATGAGTATATTTGCATGTATCCCTGAATCATTATGACGTCAGCCCTTTGAGGTAGGAAAGGTCAAGAAACAAGCATGGCAGGGACTCTAGGAATGATCTTTATCCTTGTAGGGTAGAATAACAGAATCTTGAGAGTTTGTCTGAGTTTCTCTCTGCCCCATCTTATACCAAAGAAAATCAAGGTGGAGTTATTTTGAGGGTGTTACTCATACCTTCCTCTTTCTCAGAAGTGAGTAATCTTTTCTGCAAGTCCCCACTTAATGGTTTGCTCATCCTTTCCCAATTCCCAAGGCCAGGTCTACACTCTTTCACAGAATTCACAAACATGCACATCTCCACCTTATTCCATAGCCTATGTAGCCCCTTCCACTTGGTGCCAGCATTGGATGATAGACAAGGCAGTTAAACCACCATGTCCTTCTCTCACATCTCCCACTTGCCCCAAACATCCACCCAGGTTAAGTGGAGGAGCCAGCCCTATACATAAGAAATGTGGTTACCTGGTTGGTGCTGGTGGTATATGTGGCTGTTTCTCAGTGGAGTTCATAGAGAAGGCAGTGGTGAGTGTGTGTGTCCAGGCTAGAGGGCAGAGGCCAAAAGTTAGGAGTGGTGGCAGTGGCATAGCTGGAAATGACTTCAGTGTTGGGTGAGACAGCAGCAGCTCAGTTGGCAGTGCAGAGGTCAAGAGGACTGGGGGTGACCCACAGCAGCACCAAAACCTCAACAACAGTCCTCAGCACTGAAGCAAGAAATCCTTTCCCCTCAACTTAGAAGAGATGGTGGACAACTCAAAGTGACAATAGCCCAAAGGCAACTAAGTTGGGGGCCACAGGAGAAATCAGCCCAGTAACAAAGGCTGTCAGGATTTGAGCAGTTGAACATGTTGGGACTGGAGGAAAAGAGCCTTGGCTTCTGCCCCAAACCACAGCTGGAAGAATGGTCAAAGCCAGATGAGCCCCTGATAACTGCCAAACAGTGGCTATAAGAATGGGTTGGGTGATAAAAGGAGAAGAGGAGAATACATTTCTCCTCTGTTATTGCATCTGCAGAACGCTGCCCAGCGGCCCTGTTTAAGATCACCCGATCTCTTCTGGGAAAGGTGGGCCCAGTGACCCACCTGCAGGGCCGCGCAGAGGAGTTTTCTGGGCATCTGGAGGATAAAATCACTCGGATACGTTCCAGTTGGACACCAAGTGTGTGCCATGGCCTGTAGAGATGCCTGGGGTACATACTTACCCTGTTATCTGGGAACAGTTTGCAAGAGGAGTTTCACCTGATGGGACCCAGGAGGATGTGCCCTTTAGAACATCATTCCCCCTCCTCCAAAGTGAGATTGGGCCTGACCCTACTGACCTTCTAGAAGGCCCTGAAAACTTGGTTTTGT